ACAGTGCTGGCAGTCAGAGGGTGAGGACCACGGAGGGCGCTGAGGGCCTGGGGAAGGCGGTGAAATGTGGAGTGTCTGAGTATCTGGATGGTGCTGGCAGTCAGAGGGTGAATGTTATGTGAGCAGGAGGGCGGCAAGCAGGCGGGTGGCAAGCAGGTGGCTGGGCCACACAGGCATGACGCAGGCGTGTCAGTGGCATGCAGGAGGCACAGCAGTCAGAGGAAGGCTAGAAACACGCCTGCACTTACATGATGACGGTTTTCTTGGGGACTTTAGTCTCTTGCTCAGTGACTACAAAGAAAACAGTCGGAATAGCGAGGGTTACAGACCTGCCCGGGCTGGGGGCTGAGCTATCTGAGTGGCGCAGCGTGGAGTCGCCGGCCAAGCTGTCCCTGGCCAGGCTGTCTGCTCAGAGCCCCAGTTCCCTGGTCTCTGATGTGGAGGTGACAATGTCTGCCCTGAGTGGCTGCGGAGTGAGGACTGAGGACCGTGCCTCCCTCATGAAGGCGAGACCCTCTGTCCCTCACGAGGGTTTTGCAGGGGCTGTGGGGAGAATGAGGGCCCTACCTGTGCTCCCTGCACAGAAATCCCAGCTTCTCCTTTGACACATGTGCTGAAGGGAGCCCTGTGAAATTTTCAGAGCCACAACCCCACTTCTCAGACACAGAAGCCAAGTCCTGGAAGGGAAAACTATGGCCTGTGGTGCACGGGGAGCCAGCAGCCACGCCAAGGCTGAGGCAGCCAGGGCCTCTGTAACAAAAAATCCTCAGAGGAGGGACTCTGGAGTCCTGAAAGTGGCACATCTGAGCTCTGTGGCATGAGGCCACACAAGTCCTGCCAAGAACAGCCCCAGGGGATGCTGTGCAGGGTCCTGAGCTCCAAGTGGGCGGGCAGCCCAATCTCCCTATAGGAGCAACCTTGGTCCACACATCCCATGGTTTCTCTTGCTTTTCTTGGCTGTTTCCCTCCCCAGAGCCAGCAGGATGGGGCCTGCGGTTCCGGTGACAGGATGGGATGCATCTGGGATCAGGCAGCCCCTCCTCCCAGTCACCTCAAGAACTCCTCCCCTGCATCTCCCAGGCAGAATCATCTGGGCACAAAGATGGCCCCTCCCAGCCCTGGCCAGCTGGCTAGTGGGCAGGCCACAGGCCACCATCAGCCTCGCGTGTCCGTGACCCTCCTCACCACCCCTAGCAGGAGGCCCAGAAAAGTTAAGTGACGTGGTCTGGGGCACACAGCCTCACAGTTCTAGGTCGGGGTGGGGCACTGTGTGCTTTGCTAGACTGCTATGTGAGAAAGGCTTTATGCCCACCTCAGGGGGGGGGCACATGTATGCCAGGGACTGCCCACATCTGGTGGGAGCCACAGGTACTGTGCATTTCTGTGTGTGTGTGCACATGTATACGTAAGTGTAGGTGTGTATTTCACAGGGAGAGAGCTCATGGGAGGAGAGAATGCGATCCAACCAAAAGGCTGCGTGTGGTTTATTTTTCCTTTTTTTTATTTTTTTGAGACGGAGTCTCACTCTTGTCGCCCAGGCTGGAGTGTAATGATATGATCTCGGCTCGCTGTAACCTCCGCCTCCCGAGTTCAAGTGATTCTCCTGCCTCAGCCTCCTGAGTAGGTGGGACTACAGGCATGCTTCACCATGTCTGGCTAATTTTTGTATTTTTAGTAGAGACGGGGTTTCACCATGTCGTCAGGCTGGTCTCAAACTCCTGACCTGGTGATCTGCTCGCCCTGGCCTCCCAAAGTGCTGGGACTACAGGTGTGAGCCACTGCGCTCGGCCAAGGCTCTGTGCGCTTGGACTAACCTGACCCCCAGGGAAGCCGGTGTGCCCGCCACCTGCTGGCCGGTGATGGAAAACCCAGGGCCTCGCCCACACCCTCCCTGCACTTGGGGCTGAGCCTGGCACCTTCACTCATGGACCTACACTGCCACCTGATTGGCTGTGGACCTGAGTATCTGCAACCATGGGAGGGGTGCAGCCGTGCGCAGCGTGGGTCACGAGCGAGGGTGCAGGGCCCGTTCGGCTGCGGAGCTGCCGGGTTAAAGAGGAAGCAGCAGGCAGGGTTAGAGGCGGGGAGGCGTTGGCTCCATTCCACGTTCTTCGCGCTGAGCTGCCGCCGCCCTGTCCGGCACGGGTGGCCTCTCTCCCTGCCACCCCTCCTCCGGACCCAGAGAGAGACTTGTGACGACTGCAGAGGACACTCCTGTCACCAGCAAGAGGCAGCCCCGTGTGTCCCTGCTGGCACTTCTGTGGCCACAAGACGTGGGACTCATGAGAGGCTGGGGCATGGTGGCTGCAGAAGCGGTGCTGTGAGGCGCTGTAGCCCCCAGGTTGTGGGGCTGACGGAGGTCACGGTGCCCCAGAGACACGTCAGACATGGGGCACTCGCAGTGGGGGCTGAGGAACAAGGACCCCTGCCTGGCAAGGGAGGGGGCTCCCTGAGGGTCATGGAGGGCATCACAGATGGCCAGACTGTGTGGGACCCAGATGGGCACCTGGCTTTCAGACACTGCGCCTCGAGAGACAGCTGAGCTGGGATGCAGTAGCCAGTGTTTATGATTTGGAGGACACGCGTTCTAACCCATCCACAGTGGGAGCTGTGGCTTTGCCAGGTGTCCCTCCACTTGCATGTCCCCAGGGATGGGAGGCTCATCACCTGTCTAGAGGGGCAGCTCCAACTGGGAGCCCACGACAGATGCCCAATGACCCCCTTCCCACCCTGGCTGCCCCTGCCCTGAACAAAGCATCTGGGAGGAGTGAGGTGATGCGCCCTGCCTGTCCCTCCCCCTCCATCCCTGGTGATCCCACCAACCCTCCATCCCTCACCTTCCATTCCTGGTGAGGTCATTCTGCAGCCCAAGGCCCTCCCAGAACCCCGGAGCAGCCCCAGACCAGGCCAGGTGCCTCCACAGCCAGCCCTACCCTGAGTGGAGGGGCCAGGCCCCTGATACCTGCCCCTTCTCCTGGGAACCAAGCTGGGGCCCAGCTGCCCAGCCTCCAGAGACGTCCTTCCTACTGTTCCTGCTGCAATCTGCCCACTGCCGGCGAGCTGCCCTGGGTGTAGGCCTGGCCTCTGTGCACACGCTTCCCTTCCCCAGGATGGCAGCAGGGCTTTGGGAATGACGCCCACCCCGAGTGGCCTCTCCACCTCCACCAGGGCTCTGGGATCAGGGCCCACCCTCCACCAGCCCACACAGGTGGTGCCTCCAGCCAGGGGCTGGAACCTGGGACCTGCACCTGGCCCACAGTGGCCGCCTCGTCTCCCATCTGTGGCTCTCCCTGCCCCAAGATGCCAGGCCGGCTCCTCCTCCAGAGTCCTCCAGGCAGCAGATCCTGACTGGGAAGGGTGAGAGTCTCATACCCCAGGACACGGCCAGGCCCGTGAGGGTCCAGCCTGGGTCTGAGCCATGGGAGTCGCCTTGGTGGTGAGGGCAGGGGTGGGACTTACCTTCCACGGCAGCCACGAGCTGCTCCCCGTGGTGCTGCTCCCGGGCCTGCAGTGCGGGGCTTTGAATGCACAGCTCCGCACTGGCCCTCGCGGAGCCCAGCCGGTTCACCAGCTGCAAGGACGGAGGGCCGGCTCAGAGCCCAGGGCTCCCCACAAGCAGGGCCCGCTCCCTGGGGCCATGCTGGGAGCATGGGCAGCCCCCACCCTGGTGTGTCTCCCCCAAGGGGAAGGGCCCCGGCCAGCCACAGCATCCCCGGGGACCCACATGGCCCCAGGGCCTCTGCAGTGACGAGGACACTCTCCGTCTGCCCCGTCCACATGTGGGTCTGAGCATGGGACATTTGGCCGGGGCACAGACTCTTTAACTTAATTTTATGTATTTTTTAGAGATGGTTCGTTCTGTGGCCCAGGCTGGAGTGCAGCGGCACGATCTCAGCTCCCTGAAGGCTTCATCTCCTGGGCTCAAGGGATCTTCCCACCTCAACTTCTGAGTAGCTGGGACCACAGGTGTGCACCACTGTGCCTGGCTCATTTTTTAATGGCTTTTTTTTAAGAGACAGGGTTTCAGTACGTTGCCCAGGCTGGTCTCAAACTCCTGGGTTCAAGTGATTCTCCTGCCTTGGCCTCCCAAATTGTTAGGATTGCTGGCGTGAGCCACAGCACCCAGCTTTGGATTTAACTTGAGCTGATTTAAAATTAAATGTAAATCCCCATGTATGGCCAGTAGTGATGGTACAAGACAGTGCAAGTCAAGAGCCAGGTCTCTGCTTCATGAGTAAGAGCGCCACACGGGAGGGCGGTGGCCAGACAAGTGCCCTGGGAAGTCTGGAGCCCGGGGCGCCTGCAGTTGGCATACAGCCACCCTGACCACCATAGGCCTTGACGGACCGGAGGACTGGGCCCTGCAGACACGGGCTGCAGCAGAAGGCAGCTCTGTCCACCCACGGGGGGACATCTCCACAGGGAAAAGGCACCTGAGCAGGACCAGGCTGCACTCCATTTGACATGACCGACAAAATTCATGAGGCCACACCAGGCCCCCTACAGGCAAAAACCAAGTGGCATCCTCGAAATGGCCAGGGAAGCAGGGAACAAGGTGTCCAGATTGTCGTGGGAACAGAGGAGAGGCCTCAGGGCAGAGGAACAATAGGGCCAGGGCATGGAGCAGTGGTGTGGCCAGGGATGACAGTGACAGTGGCCTGGTGGCCCCCAGACTGTGATGGGGATGACAGTGGCCTGGTGGCCCCCAGACTGTGATGGGGGTGACAGTGTCCTGGTGGCCCCTAGACTGTGAGGGGGTGACAGTGGCCTCTGGCCTGTGGTGGGGGGTGACAGTGGCCTGGTGGCCTCTGGCCTGTGGTGGGGGGTGACAGTGGCCTGGTGGCCTCTGGCCTGTGATGGGGGTGACAGTAGCCTGGTTGCGCTTTGCTTGTGATGGGGGTGAGAGGGGCCTAGTAGCCTCTGTTTGTGATGGGGTGACAGTGGCCTGGTGGCCCTCTACTTGTGATGGGGGTGATAGTGGCCTGGTGGCCTCTGGCCTGTGATGTGGTGACAGTGGCCTGGTGGTCTCTGGCCTGTGATGGAGGGTGACAGTGGCCTGGTGGCCCTCTACTCGTGATGGGTGACAGTGGCCTGGTGGCCTCTGGCCTGTGATGTGGTTGACAGTGGCCTGGTGGCCTCTGGCCTGTGATGTGGTGACAGTGGCCTGGTGGCCTCTGGCCTGTGATGGGGATTATAGTAGCCTGGTGGCCTCTGGCCTGTGATGTGACAGTGGCCTGGTGGTCTCTGGCCTGTGATGGAGGGTGACAGTGGCCTGGTGGCCCTCTACTTGTGATGGGTGACAGTGGCCTGGTGGCCTCTGATGTGGTGACAGTGGCCTGGTGGCCTCTGGCCTGCGATGGGGATTATAGTAGCCTGGTGGCCTCTGGCCTGTGATGTGGTGACAGTGGCCTGGTGGTCTCTGGCCTGTGATGGAGGGTGACAGTGGCCTGGTGGCCCTCTGGCTTGTGATGGGGATGATAGTGGCCTGGTGGCCTCTGGCCTGTGATGGAGGGTGACAGTGGCCTGGTGGCCTTCTACCTGTGATGGGTGACAGTGGCCTGGTGGTCCTCTGCCTGTGATGGGAATGATAGTGGCCTGGTGGCCTCTGGCCTGTGATGTGGTGACAGTGGTCTGGTGGCCTCTGGCCTGTGATGGGGATTATAGTAGCCTGGTGGCCTCTGGCCTGTGATGTGGTGACAGTGGTCTGGTGGTCTCTGGCCTATGACTAGGGGATGACAATGGCCTGATGGCCCCCCACCTGTGATAAGGGGATGACAGTGGTGGCCTGGTGGCCTCTGGCCTATCATCGGGGAAGCGTGTAGCAGTGGATATGGTGTTCCCTGGCCCCTGCTGAGAGGCCCCCACCTTAAGGACAGTTCCTGGCTCTTCAGCCCCTCCATGATGAGACCCCAGAGAATGGCCGGCAAGGAGAGCCTGGGCCCCAGGGCAGGGCCCGTTCCTGCACCGCTCACCTCACACTCATAGAGCCCCAGGTCCTCCTCGCTGGCTGCGCGGATCACCAGCACCAGCAGGCCGCTGCGGGGATCACTCAGCATCTGGATCTTGCTGCCAGGGGTCAGACGGGCCCCGTCCTTGTACCACCTGGAATCCGCCCAGAGGACAAGTGAGGCAGGGCTCCGGCCACCCTCTGCCTATGTCCTGTCTGAGGGCCACCCCCGGCTGTGCTCCCTGTGATCAGGACCACACTGCGCTGCCCCCAGACCCCCAGGGTCCTTAGCCCACCCTTCCAGAAGCCAAGACCCAGCCTGGCCGTGTCCTCCTGGCTGAAGGGCCCACATCCAGAATGATCCAGAGCCCCCGAAGCCCATTCTGAGCTGAAGACTGGTGGCCATGTCCAGCCCCCCCGACCTGGGAACACGCTGTCCATGCCCTGTGCCCCAGGCAGGAGCCGGCCCCCACACCCACCCCCGCAGGCCTGGGCCCCACCTGATCTGCGGGTGCGGTGCGCCTTCAATGGTGCAGGTGAACTGGGCATCCTCTCCCTCCACAAAGGGCGAGGCCCGGACCTTGTTCACGAACCGTGGTGGGACTGTGGGTTGTGGAGGGGAGAGACAGAGATAAAGGCAGAGACAGAAAGACATGCAGAGAGACACAGAGACAGAGATGGAGAGACAGAGAAAGAGAAATACAGAGATAGAGACAGGGACAGAGAAATTGAGAGAGACAGATAAACACAGAGATGGAGAAACAAAATGGCAGACAGACACAGAGATCAAAGGATAAAGAGAGACATACAGACGGGGGAGACAGACACAGAGTCACACACAGAGCTGCCCTGATGAAGCTGAGGGTGACCCAGCGAAGGGCTGCAGGTCCCTGCCTCCCAGTACCCTCTGTGAGCCCCCAGCAATCCCTGCCGCAGCCAGGCCTGCCATGGTGGGCGATCAGAGCGACTCCTCCCCCGGGCAGGCCTCCAGGCTTACCCTGCACCAGGATCTTGCCCAGGGTACTACAGGTGCCAGCGGCACTGGCTGCGAAGCACATGTACTGTCCAGAGTCCACACCGGTCAGGCTGTCCAGGATGAGGGCACACGAGCCGTCCGGGTCCTCGATGAGGATGTGGTGGGGGTCCACCTCCACTGGCTTCCCATCTGGAAAGGACGGGCAGGGGCCATCACCCAGGTGGGGACCCCAAGGGCTCACCCCATCAGGGCCGAGATGCCGGGCCTGGCCTGGGGGCGGCAGTCATGGGTGGGGAGGGGATGGTGGGCCCACAGCTGTGGCTCAGGGCCAAGCTCCCGGCTGGGTGCAGCCTCCAGGCCGACCTGCGACCCCGGATGGAGAGGCTGACTCTAGTTCCCCTTAGCGCTGCGTTTGTCTCAGTTTTTCTTTGTGTCTCCGTCTCGGACTCAACCTTTCTTTGCCTCTGTCTCTGTCTGTTTCTACTTTCTGTCTCCATTTCTCTCCCTCTCTGCCTTTTGCCTTTCTGTCTCTGTCTGTCTCTCTCTCTGTCCATCTTGGGCACTAGCTCAAGGCAGGGGCCAGGCTGAGGGACCTGAGCCCCATAGAGGCCATCCCCTAGGGGCAACTGAGTCCTTGGTCACCCCAGCTCACGCACTTGACCCCTCTTCACCCCTTCCTCCCCAGCCTAGGGGCTCCAGCCCCTTCTCAGAATCACTGCCCACACCCCCTCCACACTTCCTCTCCCTACACTGGCCCCTGCAGGGAACACAGCAGCCCAAAGTCTCCCAGGGCAGCAGGGGCCTGAGCCTCAACCCCCCTCCACTAGCCCCACCCTCCTGCCTCCAAGTGCATGGCCTTCTAATACAAACATCTGAAGAATGTGAAGTAAATCACCCGCTGTGAACATGCACTGACCACACCTCTCTGGCCAGTGCATGCTTCCTTCCAGGCGAGGGATGGGAAGGCAACGCCTCCTTCCCACGCGTAATGTCCAAATAGATAAAATGGCATCAATTCACATTCCAAGAGGGCCGGGTGTGTGCCACAGATTGCTTAAATCACAAAGGTCATGACCAGCACTGACTTCTGATTTGTATAGAACTTTAACATACATGTTCTTAGAGACGGGGTCTTGCTCTGTTGTCCAGGCTGCAGTGCAGTGGGGCGATCACAGCTCACTGCAGCCTCAACCTTCTGGCCCAGGTGATCCTCCCGCCTCAGGTGCGCTGCCACACGGGGCTAAGTTTTTCATTTTTTTAGAGACAGGGTCTCACTGTGTTGCCCATGCTGGTCTTAAACTGGGCTTAAGTGGTCCTCCCACCTCAGCCTCTTACATAGCTGAGACTACAGGCGTGCTATCCCTACCTGGCTCAGCAATAACTTTAATTGTTTTTCAAAAAACCTGTAGCCACCACCTCAGATCTCCGCACCCCTTGGCGGCAACTCCAGGAGGCAGCTGTGCTGACGCCCTCAGCGCGTCTCGTCCCATCCCCGCTGAGCCCATCCCACGGGACCCACGTCTCTCGCACCAGGTCCACTGGCAGCTCTGTCCTCATCTCGCTTCGAGAAAACCCTTCTGTCTGGAATTCACATTCCACACTCGACCTCTGAGCAAAGGTACAGCCAGGCTTAGAACGGAGTGCAATGCCGACAGTGGAGGGAAGAGGAAGGAACGTGGAGCTGGAGATGCCGGCTCCCCGGCTGCGTCGCAGGACAACAAGGCAAAGCCCTTCCACTCTGCCGGGAGACGTCGTTTCTGCATCCCAGGTAGGAAGTCTGCTACCTCCGGAGCGCAGCATGGGCAGACGTGCCAGCAGCCCCATCAAAACCGCTCCGTGCCTCTAAAAGTCAGGGTTTCTCTCCCACAGGGCACCCCTTGCATGCGGCTAACACCCGGCTCCATCACCTCCTCACGGAAACCAGGGGGTGGGTAACAGCATGAGACCCTAAGGCACTGCTGGTAACAAGTCTTGGTCTCCCCAGCCAGCCAGGTTTGAGTGGGCTGAGAGCTGACAGGCTGTGGAGGCCTTCGGGCTCCACACCACGACTCCCACGCACTCTGGGTTTCTGAGAGTCGTCATTCTGCCCACTGGGGTCTCTGGCAATGGAAGGCACCCCTTGGGGTTTTGGACTTGTTCTGTCCCCAACATGGTCACCAGACGCACCATTTTTGAAAATCAGCCCTCAGCATGCCAGAGGACTTTGGTGGAAACCACACACCTGACCCTGCAGGGGCTGGTGACTATTTTGGGGTGGGCCAAGTATATAGCGTTTATGAATATACATGTGTGGTGTGTGTTTAGCATGTACGTGCATTGCATGGATCTGTGCATGTGTGTTATGTGGCTGTGTACATGTGTATATGTGTGCAGTATCCATGTGTGCACATATGTGGTCTCTAATGTATATACTTATATGTGTGCAGTGTGTGTACATGTGTAGCTGTGTGTGGTGTGTACTTGTGTGTGTAGCATGCCTGTAGACATGTATGTGCAGTGATGTTTGCATGTATCTATGTATATATGTCGCGTAGGCGCAGGTAGTGTGCACCGTGCATGATGCGTGTGTATGTGGTGTGTACATATGTGTACCTATATACATATTCATGTGTGTGGTATTTGCATATCTGTATTGTATGCCATGCATGTATGTGTAGTATCTGTGTGATATATATCTATATTACAGGTATAGTGTTAATATACATGCATGTGTAGTGTGTATGGCATGTATGTACATACACGAGATGTACCATGTGTCTGTGTGTCTCTAAGTGCGTGCACAAGTGTGTGTGATGTGTATGTGTGTAAATCGTGACAGGCCAACCACATGTATGAGGGGTAGAATGGGAGATTCCACAGTTCCAGGGACCCCAGCAGCCCTGGGCACCCCTGTCCACTCCCTGGCTGGCTTCCTGGGCCCCCGCCTCCCTGGCCGCTCCTCCCCCTGAGCTGGCCTTTTCTCGCCTCTGCAAACTCTGGAAGTGGGAGCTCTCAAGCCTGGCTGCTCGGGCCTTACCCCTCCACCCACACTCTGCATCAGCTGGCAGGTCAGATGCTCTGTGAGTCTGACCATTTGCACTCTCCGGCCACACCCTCTCCAGCCACACCCCCTCCGGCCACACCCTCTCCAGGCACCCCTCCGGCCACACCCCCTCCGGCCACACCCCTCCGGCCACATCCTTTCCAGCCACACCCTTTCTGGCCACACCCTTTCCGGCCACACCCTCTCCTGAGCCTTACTTGCACTTCTGCAATGCCCTTCGGCCCCTCCACCTGCATCCCCACAGGCATTGACTCTGCAGGGTCCACCCAGGCCTGGCGCTTTCTCCTCCCACCCAGCCTGTCTGCATACCACCCTTTGTCAACGGAACCCCCCCACTGGCAGATGTCCAACCCCAACTGTGCGCACATCTGGGCGCCAAGCTCTCTCCAGGTGGCCAGGCACCCCATCAACAAATGGGCCAGCTCAGCCTTCAACACGCCCCTGGAGTCCACAGCCACCCCTGAGCCCAGTCCCCCAGCTCCCAGGGTGGCTCCCAGACTGGCGTCCCAGGCCCCCTCTCGGCCCTTCCCAGCAGGTTCCTGGCATTACAGCCAAGGTGACAGATGGCAGAGCCAAACCGTGTCCCTCCGCTGCTCAAACCCGACACAGCTCCAGCCCAGAGGAGGATGGATGCTGCCCGGAGAGAGGCCCCACTCCTGGGAGGTAACCTCGGGCTCTTGGGATGTCCTGGCTGGTAAGAGTGGCTGTTCTCACACGGGACCATCTATGCTGACCGTGGATTTCTGAGATTCCTGGGGTTCCCTGGCCCATGCAGTGTCAGCTTGGCCTCCTGAAGGCTGGAGCCCAAGGCCCGCTACAGAGCCGTGAGCCACGATTCCACAGCTAAGCCCGTAAAACCCTGGACACCAGGGCTGGGGAAACCGCTGGTTGGCTCCACCCCGTGCATGTCATGTGCTGTCTCTGGGAGAGACGACGCCCCTGGGAGGGACACCCGGAAGCCCGTGGTAGCGCCTCCCGATCTTTCCCTAGGCGGCTCTCCCAGCCGCTGCTTTAACTGGCCCTCTGGCTGCAGTCAGCCCTGACCGTGCAACTAACAGCTTTGCAGAGCCGAGTCCTCCTCGGGATCCCCTGGCTCCCTCCTCTCCGTGCCATGCTGGAAAGTGGGTGGCAAGTGGACGTATGAGGCCTGTCCTTCATGCCCCAGACACCTAGCCAAACCCCACACTGGGCCGCCAGCCCTCACAGCCCCTTTCTCTCAGCTGGCAGGGCCAGCATCTGGGACAGGAAGGCTGTGGCCCCGGCTCTGGGTTTACCTTTGTACCAGCTGACGATGGGCTTGGGTGTGCCTGTGACACGGCAGGCCAGCTTGACCGTCTCGCCCAGCTCGGCCGTGCAGTCGGCCAGCTCCTCTTCAAAGTCCGGGGGCCCTGAGGGCACACACAGCCCTCAGTGCTTTGTGGGGGGGTGTCGGGCTGTGGCACCCCCAGGTGCACCTGGAAGGTCACCTGCCCTGTGCCACAAGCCCCACATCCAACGGTGTGGCCACTGTGGGGACGGTCCCTTGTCATCCCTCAGCCAAGGTCCCCATCTGGAGTCAGGTGCATGAGGCAGGTATGTGTTTAACAGAAACCAGAGCGGGCTCAGGGGAAGATTCCGTTCACACCCTGGCTGCCAGGCCCTTAACAGCCCCTGACACAATCCGGGCGGGTGCCCTGTGCTTGGGGCTCCCACGGTGTCCCCCACCTCCGGTCAGGGCCGACTCAACACCCAGCCCCAGGGCTCCCCGTGAGGCTGTAGCCGTCACACGCCACAAGCCAGCTGAGCTGGCTGTCCCGGGACCAAGCCCACCCCTCACACCCACCTGGGCAAGGACCCGTGTGGCTGCAGGAACAGGCTGGGTGCCTCATCCCGGCTAAGCCCCCCGCCCCCCCGGGGAGGTGGACGCTCACTCCACACAGGCAGGGCCAGACGCTGCTGGATGCCACAGATCTCCTTCACCCATGAGTTCTTGATGATGGTCGTCCGTGCTTGCAGCAGGTACTTGCGCACGGAGTCCTCCCGCTCCTGCCACACCTCGAAGGCGCGATCGTCCCCCTCCACCTGGTCATTCAGGTCGATGCTGCTCAGCTGTGGGGTGGGGAGGGCGTCAGCGCAGGGAGGGGACACGGCTGGACCGTCCCCAACAGATGTGGGCCCCGACAAGGAAACACTCAGGCCACCCCGGACCAGCGGCATCACCGCGGAGCCAAGCGACGGGGACCCCAACCGGCGCCTACAGACCTTCATCATGTTCCGGAACACGTAGCTGAAGGTGTCGGTGCGGGAGTCCCGCCGGGGCTTGCAGATCACCAGGTGGTTGCGGAAGAGGAACACGTGGCGGTTGTGGCCCTTCCAGGGCATGCGGGCCCCCGGCGCACCCTCCCACACGATGAAGTGGCCCTGGGAGCGTGTGGGCTGCAGTCAGCCTGTGGCCAGCCAGGACGCCCAGCGTGCAGACGCCACAGCGCCCAAGGGCCCAGTGCCCTGCCCGACTCATGCGCACGCCCCCACCTCCTGGCAGCACCCCACACCCACCCACATGGCCTGCGCCCCGGCCCCTCCCTGACCTGGCGGACGGGCTCGCCCAGGGCCTCCAGGGTGCCGGGGTAGTTCTCCATGAGGGACACGTGCAGCTTGTCCTCGGCGCGCTTCGGCAGGGCGGACACCACGGCGTAGGCCTGCTCCAGCAGCGCACAGTTCTGTCTGTTCCGTGCCTTGTTGCGGATCAGCTCCTGGGGCCGGGATGGAGGTCAGGGCGCAGGCTGCCCCACAGCTGGACCCCAAGAGACCCAGCCTGGGCAGAGGAGGTGGGGCCCACCTTCAGCAAGGCCTGGTAGCGCTGCACGCGTTCCACTGGCTGCTCCAGGTAGTGCTGCAGGGGCGGTGGCGGGGGCCGAGAGGGGTCTCCTGCCGACAGGGTCTCCTCCGCGTATTTCTGTGGGAAACAGGAATGGGGTTTTGGGGCAGGAATGGGAGGCTCCCTGATGGCTGAGTCCCTGAGAGCTGGAGGGTGGGTCATAGCCCTGTACCCTGAGTGACAGCTGTTATCACCTCTTGACAGGTGACAAGCACAGGACTCCGCTGCTGAAGCGGCCTGCCCCCATTTCAGAACAGAGGCCCACAGGGAGGCTGTGGGCAGAGGCTCTGATGCAGGCAGGCAGGATGAGCCTTCAGAGGGAGCACATGAGCTCAGGCAGGGCACCTTGTAGAACTCCTGGACGGCTGTGCTGACGACCACCGACTCAGCCTGCACGCGGCCCACCAGGAACTCCAGGTACTGCTCAAAGGCCGCCTGGTTCTTAATGAAGCACATGGCCACGTCGTCGTCCGTGTCGCACTGCCGCAGCTCCTGCAGGAAGCTGCCGTGGAGGCGGATGGCGTCAGGACTCAGCCGGTGCCCCCTGACCCGGCCCTGAGCCCTCACCTCTGGGAGGAGCTGGCCCTGCACAAGGGCTGCGGCCCTGTGGCTCCTCGGACCTGAGAGAGTGTGTGCAGATAGATGTGGGCATGCAAGGAAGTGCTTGTGTGTCATGTACAAAAGCACACGTGAATATCGTATGCACGCATTTGTGGAGGCATGCACATGTGTATGAACATGCATGTGGCTGCACACAGGCAGGTGGTGGAAGGAGGCACTGTGTGCTCTGTGCATGTATACACAAGTGTGCAGATGAAAGGGTGTGCAAAAGTGCATGTGCATACATGTGCATAAAGCGTGGAGACGTGTACACAGGCATGCCTGTGTGTGCACATAGGTGATGTGTATGTGGGTATGTGTGCATCTACAGATGTGTACGTGCCATGCACATGGGTATGTGCTGTTAAAGACGGTCCGTGTACATGTGTTCACGTGTGCACACATGTGAGGGTATACATGAACATGTCAGCAGTGGGTATGCCACAGGCCTTCCCATGGGTAAGCCAGGTACACACGTCTGGGTTTCGAGGGAAGGTGTGCCAAGGGGTAAATCAAGTCAGCACAGGTTCTCTTCCTTTTTGGCTCCAACCCACCTGCAGGAGGCCTGGCCCTACAGAGCATCCACGCGTGGACGCTGTGTGTGTGTGCGTGCGCCCCCACCCACCTGCTGTGGAAGCGGGCGATATCCTGTACGTTGCGGAAGATGACTGCTTTCTGGCTGGCCACAGCCGTGGGCACATGTGGGCAGCGCTCCAGGTGCTGCAGGTGGTGACTCTGCAGGAACTGCAGCTCTTCCACGAAGGCCTGCTCAGAGCTCAGCATCTCCTGGATCACAGAGCTGGGCAGGAGGGGCCGCTGTGAGGGACCCTGGAGCCACTGCCACCTGCACAGGGACTGCGGGCCATGGGCCCCCCCACCTCAGCTGCTAGACTGGAGTGCCTTCTGTCACCTGCAGTGTGTCGCCTGCTCGCAGGAAGCGGGAGAGCAGGTGCAGAGAGGCTCCCTCTCTAACAAGTTGGGCCCCAACAACAGGAAGCCACCCAGCTGGGTCCCACCAGCAAGAGGCCGGGAGGGCAGCTGTGGGAACCCAGGTAGCTCTGGGCCTGCTCCGCTGTCCTCAGCTCCCACCCATCCCCAACAGGCTCACACAGGAGCAGTGTTTCAGAGGCCCCCACAGAGAAATCAGCGTGACCGTGACCCAGAGCTGCTTTGGGAGATGGTCCAGCTGGTGGGACGCCAGTGCCGCCACCTCGGGCCCGGCAGCCGCTCACCTCAGCCTTGGCTTGTACTCGTCTTCAGACACCGCCTCCCCGGGGAGCTCGGGGGCCTCGGCGGCCCCCCACTCGGGCGACAGCTGGGAAGGGAGAGGAGTTTGTGGTTGGGGTGCTGAGCTCTGGCCTTGGCTTGTGGGGACTGGCTCTTACCGCTCAAATTGGGACGACCCTCCCAGGGCCCCCGAGGACCCTCCTGCCTGGGCATTTGGACGGCCCTCCCAGG